TTTGTGGAATCCAGGTGAGAAAAAATGGTTTAAAAGGTATACTAAATATACTGCAGGGGGTGTCAGTCTGATTGTTAGAATAGCATAATTTATTATTTTAGTACTTCTGCTCTTACTACCTTAGCTAGAATGTATATAAATAATGATGTTTCTTTTCCTAGTTAATTACTTAGTTGCATAAATTTATGTCTTTAAATGACTATATTTAAACCTTGTTTTTTTTTATAATTTTTGTGTTTGTGAAATCAGTGATGTGTGAAGAACAATAATAAAAGAAAGTAAATAAAATTACAGTCACTGTTCAGCTATATAATTGTTGTATTGTAGGGAGATATAGGTATTTACTATATTGATTGATTCAGAAGATTGATTTCATTGAAAATAATACCTTTAACGAAGACTGGTTTGTTCTGTTGAAGGTTTAATTGCTTTGTCTCGTCCTTTAAAATATTTACGTCTGCTACGAGGCAAAACATGGAATAGATAATTAAAGAGACTTAAGATAAAAGGGAGTGCCATTTTAGTTTTTCTCAGTCGGTTAATATTGATTTAAAAAGCAGTTATGAAAAAGTTAATTACCGGTATACATGCTATTATATATGGTGAATATGTTTATTGTAATATGAAAACATTGTTGATATAAATACACCATTGTAGTGAATGTAATGAGATTATGTGACTGTGTAAAGCTATAAATGGTATGTTTTGTCAGGTGGGGGGATTATATACTACATGGAATTTGTTACTATACTTGAAATATTAAAGTTTTGTTTGGCATATTTATTTTCTATGGAATGTTTTATCTTATATGGTGTACATTCTGTCACTTAAAACAGGAGTAGAACTTGTAAAGGTTAGTCTGTTATTCATTTGTAAGATTTAGATGACTGTAGAGGAAAATCTTCCATTTACCTTCATATGAAAGACTTTGTGCAAGTTCTTTGAGATTTCAGTTCTTTGAGATTTTGATATTTACCTTCACATGAAAGACTTTGTGCAAGTTCTTTGAGATTTAAGGTCTTTGAGATTTTGATATATGTGCCTGTTTCATGCATCTCATCAGTAGGCTAAAATAACTGTATAGCTGTATGTTGTGAGCTATGGTTCAATATGTTCTTGTGTCAAACCATCTGGACTTGAAGTGATATATGTTTTTACCAATTGTCTTGCTATGGTTCAATCATTTCTTGTGTTAAACCATTTGGACTTGTAGTGATATATATTTTACAAAATTGTCTTGCTATGGTTCAATATGTTCTTGCACTAAACCATCTGGACTTGTAGTGATATATATTTTACCAATTGTCTTGCTATGGTTCAATATGTTCTTGTGATAAACCATCTGGACTTGTAGTGATATATATTTTACCAATTGTCTTGCTATGGTTCAATATGTTCTTGTGTTAAACCATCTGGACTTGTAGTGATATATATTTTACCAGTTGTCTTGCTATGGTTCAATATGTTCTTGTGATAAACCATCTGGACTTGTAGTGATATATATTTTACCAATTGTCTTGCTATGGTTCAATATGTTCTTACTATAAACCATCTGGACTTGTAGTGATATATATTTTTACCATCTACAGTTTGTCTTTTGTAAAGACAGATAGGCATGCATCCTTAAACTGTATATGATTTATGATGTTTACCAAGACTATATTGACTGTCTATATCAGTAAATCATTTTGTGGTTTATTTTGTAATTTCCCATTACTCACCTGTTTTGTGGTTAGACCCATGGCTGCAGTTATTTTGATGGCAGTGCTGTTTATTGCCTCAATAAGTTTTTTCAATGCACTTTTATAATGAAATACCTTATGCAAATGAGAGCACATGCAGTGAAATATTCCAGAACTTTTATACACAAACAGAAAACAGAATACTTTCGACTTCTTAGTTTTATTTGATATGTCAATTGCATTTTACTGTAGTTAAAAAATAAAAGGACAAAAATGGGAAATTAAGGTTATTACAGGGAAAAGCTCACTTGTTTATCATTGTCCATTTAATTTGATTTTAAGTTTGTAAGTTGAAGGAACAGAAGCTAGCAATTGTTTTATTTAAATGGAAGACACCAGCATGGTTTATGTATGTTGTAATTAAGGTTGTACACTTAAGTAAAATTTTGTATATGTATATAATAATACTTCTAAAACAATTTCCAAACATCCAAGAATATGTTAAATAATTTATGTACTGCAAATATTTATTTGCATTATAAGTAATCTTTAAAATATATGCATTCATTTCTTATTGAAAAAATTGGCTTAGACTTTATTGAAAATAAATTTCTAATAACCTCCCTTTATTTACATGAAATGTAAATTTGGTAATATCTTTACAAACAATGTTTTTTGGAACTTACAATATTGATAAATCTTCATTTGAGCTTCATATTTATGATATAAAACCATATAAAAATTGAGTTACAGGATCTTTAACCAGTAAATGCTAGCATGATATGACTTAATTAAACCAGTAGGTGTTGGCATCATGGTTCTAAACCAGTAAATACTTGCATGGTGGATTTCAACCAGTAAATGGTGGTATGGTGGTTGAATTTACCAGTTACAAACACAAGCATGGTTCAACTTAACCCGAGTAAGTGCTATGATGGTTAGATTTAAACAGTAAGTTAACTATTAGGTACAATTGAACCAGTAAGTGCAAAAATGGTTCAATTTAACTAGTAAGCATGCATGCATGCACATTTGTAAAATTTATTGAAAAAAAAGGATGAAGTTTCTGATTTTTCTACCTGCATTCCAAGGTTTTGTTAGTGTGTGAATTTGTATCCTAATTGGGATTATTTTGTTGACCTTTGATATAAATTTACATTTGATTTAACATGAGGGGATCATTTAGACTATAATTTTCACTCTAAACAGCTAAACCATATATTAACAATAATGTTTAGTGTGGAATACAACCTGTTTAACATGGCATGATGTGGGGTAGGTGACAAAGTAATAATGCTCTAAACAGCCCTGCAAGTCAAATTACAATTGGATGGTGTGAGAACCTGATACTGTATGATGTACTTTAATTGAAAGTCATGAAATGAATGATGCAACTGAACTGGAAATTATATTCACATTTTCTTTGAAATTGTATTTTTCCAGAGGAAGTAATAATCTTAAAAAATCATTTGAGCGGAGAATAAGACATTTTATTACATTAATGAGTGGTTTTATCGAGATGCTTATAAAGTCCAAAAAGCACCAGTGGGGATGATATCAAATACATCTACCAGACAGGTTGCTGTGATAATAGCAAGCCCATGAACACTGTTCAGCCTGGTAATAGCAAGCCCATGAACACTGTACAGCCTGGTAACAGCAAGCCCATGAACACTGTACAGCCTGGTAATAGCAAGCCCATGAACACTGTACAGCCTGGTAATAGCAAGCCCATGTACACTGTACACCCTGGTAACAGCAAGCCCATGTACACTGTACAGCCTGGTAATAGCAAGCCCATGAACACTGTACAGCCTGGTAATAGCAAGCCCATGAACACTGTACAGCCTGGTAATAGCAAGCCCATGAACACTGTACAGCCTGGTAATAGCAAGCCCATGAACACTGTACAGCCTGGTAATAGCAAGCCCATGAACACTGTACAGCCTGGTAATAGCAAGCCCATGAACACTGTACAGCCTGGTAATAGCAAGCCCATGAACACTGTACAGCCTGGTAACAGCAAGCCCATGAACACTGTACAGCCTGGTAATAGCAAGCCCATGTACACTGTACACCCTGGTAACAGCAAGCCCATGAACACTGTACAGCCTGGTAATAGCAAGCCCATGAACACTGTACAGCCTGGTAATAGCAAGCCCATGAACACTGTACAGCCTGGTAATAGCAAGCCCATGTACACTGTACACCCTGGTAACAGCAAGCCCATGAACACTGTACACCCTGGTAACAGCAAGCCCATGAACACTGTACAGCCTGGTAACAGCAAGCCCATGAACACTGTACAGCCTGGTAATAGCAAGCCCATGAACACTGTACAGCCTGGTAACAGCAAGCCCATGTACACTGTACAGCCTGGTAATAGCAAGCCCATGAACACTGTACAGCCTGGTAACAGCAAGCCCATGTACACTGTACACCCTGGTAATAGCAAGCCCATGAACACTGTACAGCCTGGTAATAGCAAGCCCATGAACACTGTACAGCCTGGTCAGATTGCTGTGATAACAGCAAGCCCATGTACTCTATATAGCCTGGCCTGAGATTCAAGCCCATGAACACTGTACAGCCTGGTAACAGCAAGCCCATGTACACTGTACAGCCTGGTAATAGCAAGCCCATGAACACTGTACAGCCTGGTAATAGCAAGCCCATGAACACTGTACAGCCTGGTAATAGCAAGCCCATGAACACTGTACAGCCTGGTAACAGCAAGCCCATGAACACTGTACAGCCTGGTAACAGCAAGCCCATGAACACTGTACAGCCTGGTAACAGCAAGCCCATGAACACTGTACACCCTGGTAACAGCAAGCCCATGAACACTGTACACCCTGGTCAGATTGCTGTGATAATATCAAGCCCATGTACTCTATATAGCCTGGCCTGAGATTCAAGCTCATGAACACTGTACAGGCTCGATGGACTTTGATCGGAGGCTTATTTCTGTACAATTTAGCAGCTCACTATTTTACAGTGTTTTGTTATGAAATATCAAAAGACAAGGCCAATAATATTAATTATATCTCTACCTTGAAGGAGTTCATGTAAGTCTTTCCCTTTTTAAAATTAAACAAATGCAAAAATTATTCGAGCTTGAATAATGACTAATTTATTGAAGATAAGGTCACCAAGATGTATGAACATAACTCATGTTGATTGTTTGAAATGCTATTGAAAATGATAGTTATTTCAATAAAATATTAATTTGAAATATAAAAAATATTTTAACTGTATAACTATAAATCATGTATTTCAATTTATAAAATGTTGCACATGTTGTGTCCTGTTCTGGAATTATAGAAATGAGCCGCGTCACGACAAAACCAACATAATGGGTTTGCAACCAGCATGGATCCAGACCAGCCTGTGCATCCGCGCAGTCTGATCAGGATCCATGCTGTTTGCTGTCAGTTTCTCCAATTGTAATAGAGTTTGTAAGCGAACAGCATGGATCCTGGTCACAAACCCTTTATGTTGGTTTTGTCATGACGCGGCTCAAATATATAATATATATATATACACATTGTATATTAAGTAAAGAAGAAATGGAAACTGTTTTTTCTGACACCCAATAGGATGACATCATCATCATAATGATTTTTATGTCTTTAAATATTTGAAAATTGTTATTTCTCTAATGGTATTATACATGTAATTGTAGATTATCTGACTTTGTATTTTGGAATTTCGAAAAAAAAAATGTAATTTTATATTCTTGAATAAGTGCCGTATTCCTAGACAGTCAAATATGAGAAGGTAAAGTCATGTTAACAGTAATATAATATTGAAGGATTTATAGACATGTTACTTCTATCTGACGCAGATACATAACTAAAGTACATAGCGCAGAGCATGCTGTTTAATTACATAAAAAATGAATTACATAGAATTAAAGACCCAGTGAAGCGTCACTTTTATTTTTGCCCAAACAGGTTTTGCTAGCGTCAGTGAGTCATTCTCCTCAACATGATATATAGACACATGAACCGCAACCATTATGCAATATGCAAATTCGATATGAAAAATTAGAAAGTCCAAATATTTGAAATAGTCTCAGGTGAGGAGCATCGATTTTTTTTTCTGTCAACTTTAATGTTTGTGTTAATACTTCAACTTGATGTTCATTGGAGGGTGATAATATTATAAAATTATGTTGTTATACTGATGTACATAATTATTATAATAATAATTATCATAATGCACATTGTTTATTCAGAGCAAGTCTCCTGTAACTCTATAGCAAAAATAAAGCATTTACAATAGTTTTATGCTGAGGTTACTGTAATTACTTTTGCAACATTTATACATCACACCTTGACAGCAAATAAACATTTACAAAAAATAGGAGAAAAGACAACATTACTGAAGGCAAAATATTTTACAAGCCAAGGAAAATTTACATCAAACTTAATTGGCCCTTAATCCTGCATGATGATTTATTTACAATCTAGACTTGTCTTTCTTTGCATAATAATAAAACTGACCTTGGATATTATTACCTGATTATAAAAGATTGACTTTCAAGGTCACTTGTTGCAGGCAAGCTAATGTCCTTTTAGTACATTTTTTGTCCATGACAGCTGGACACCATGTCATGTTGTTCAGCAATAAATACCTACTAACAATTATGACAACTTCGCTAAAACATTACTGAATGAATTTATCAGTCCTTGTCAAAACATGATTTCAATACATGCAGTTGCATTTTTTTTCAAATAATAATTGAACAAAATGTTGGCGACATATGAATGAAACAAGTACATGAGAATATTTAACTTGGGCAATCAAAACATCGCTTGCTATAAGAATTATTCATGATAGCAGTTCAAATAGTAAAAAATTTTGCATGTCAACTAATAATTTGTGAAACGAAAAGGAAACTCAAAGGTACGTGTTTTGCATTTAAGAAAACGAATTACAATGATGACATGTCAGGCTTTCCCCTTATATTTTAGTGGAGAGTGCTTGTAAGTTCTTACACTACCAAATTGAACAGCCACACCCGTTGATCTTATAGCATAATAAATTTTTGAACAAAGTTAGCTTTGATGATATAGTAATGGGCATTCAAATGTGAGGTAAATATAAATTAATTCATATTTAAAAGATCCAAACAGCTTAACACATTCAGGAATTCTGTAAACCCAGCAATTTAGTTATGGCAATGAACTTTTTGACTATATATACACATATATATTATTTGTAGCAAAAGCCTAAATATTTCAGCTTTCATTAGTTGCTATTCATGGCTTTTGTTGTTGTTTTTTTTTGTTATATGAATCATTAAAGACCCACAAAAAAAGTTCCTTTTCACAAGTTAACAATGGTCACCCATATGTTGCTATGCACCGGAGACATTTTGTCAATTTTGCACATAATTTATTTGATTATGAACATTTATTTGGACTGGATTTCAATTCCTTGTGCTGACATAATATACAATAATGCTTAAAGATGTTGATTCAGTTTGTGAAGATAACTTTTTAATACTCCTAACATAGACAAGTGTTTTCTTTGGTATCATATTTCAATATTAATTATGCAGTTATCTTTCTCCTCACAACCTCATAATCATCATCCTTTATAGTCATCATGATGATAATGTTCCAAATGATGATGATGATGATGCCGACCCCTCTGCTGCTGCTTATAATGATGATGATGATGATGGTGATTGTGATTGTGATGGTGATGGTGATGATGATGGTGATGATGATGATGATGATGATGATGAAGATGATGACTTAATTGTTTATTCAGATTTGTTTTATACTTACTCAATAACATTGTCTGTAATTTCAAAGCAAAAATGATAAATCAAAAAGAAATTATTAATGGATGTAGTAAAACTACCCTCAGGAATGTTGTTATAATCTGAAGCCCAGTATTTGGAAATATTTCACTTGATACTAGTGATCAATAACCAGTTTTTTTATATCAATAATGCATTCTTTGGTCTAAATGCATCTTAATCTATAAAACACATTATGGGGAATTATTTAACAAAACCCCCTATGAAAGAATCGGTAACTTGATGAAATGATTTATTTGAATACCATTCTTTTCACTTATTGATCCCATTTTTAACAAGTCGGCTGTTCTAAACTTAAGTTTGAATGAATAGGAAGAAATGTTAAGAATTAATTTACATGAGCTTAGAGTTATAGAGGTCACCATTTGAATATCTCTTTAAGTGAAGCTTTCACTTTGGGGCATTATTAAAGGATTTGACTTGATTTAGGATAATATTCATTTGAAATTGATGGGTAAGGAATTTTAATGATGTTCAGATTTCACTGGTGTCTTCACAGTGAGGGTGAAATAGGTTGTCAGGCTTGACAAGTGATGTCACATGATGTCACATGTGCTCAACTGATTAATGTTGACATAAAAGAACACCAGTCATCCAAAATCATAAAATGAAGACTGGTATGTTCCATAGTAACCATGCCGATGACAGAAATCATGGCCTTAAATAGGGCTTTCTTACATCAGTAAAAACTAGATGAAACTTAAAAACCAAAAACTTAATAAGAATAGATGAAATTATTTTAGTCACTTTTTGTAGATTGGTTTCTTTGTATTTGTTTCGTAACATCTGACAAATATTTGAAATATTTCAAAGTAATTATCTTTTGAGTTTGTATTTTTGTGTGCAAACTTACAGATTTGTTAAATCTTCAAAACAAAAAGTGTTTGCACTTATGGTATTTTGCGCATTAAGTTTATATGCTTGATAAATAAAAAGTTTCAAGGATTTAGTTGAAAGGTTTATTTTCTCATGATGAGTTTTCCGTCAACTGTGACAGAATAAAGCTTCCCTGAAATTGCTTCCAGATAATCCTGCATTTGGTAAAAAATTTGCTGATTCATTGTAGTGTAATTTTAAAATAGTTTGTTTCCTGATTTAATCTCTAGGATCAAACAAAATCACTATTGACTATATCAATACCTATTAAGTGCATTGATCATGTGATCTTGATTTACTTTTTTTGTACTTAAATACAATGGATAAAGGATAATATCAATTGCACCAGTCTTTGTCACCAGGGTTGCTCTACAAAATGTTGCAACAACTAAGTTGATCAGTCTAGGCCAAGGACTGGTTAAGCTGCTCATGACTGCCCCCTCTTGAGCCAAAACAATTGCAAGATTACCACTGCCTGCTGGCAGATGTCTTGGCATGTTTACCTACTCTTTCTGCCATCTGATCTTGTTTCTTGACGATATTTTCAACAATCTATTTGTACATATAGTGACTTTCAAGTAATACTGGTATAGGAATTTCTGTAGACAAAAATCCAAGCATTATTCTAGCCACAAGCATAACCCAGGCAAGAAGAAAAGTTAGCTAGCTGGATAGCTGCCTCAACTGAGAAAGAATCTTAAGTTCCTGTTGGGATTCAAACGAACAGCAGGGAGTGGCAAGATAATTAATTTTAAGTCAGTGAGCTTAAGCCACTCGGCCATGAAGGCTGGCATATCTATATGTGATTGATGTAAAAGAAGCAAGCCTGCGCTATAAAAATTAAACAAAAATATGTTTTATTATTTTTGACATGACCTTTTGTGATGCAGATATGTATAGAGTTATTGGTAACTGACTGGAAGGATAAAATATGAATTAATGATGATATAATTATTTTTAATTTCTGTTTGTGCTACAATATTATGTCAGTTTAATTTTGACATATTCAAAACAAGGTGTTTCTTCAATTTTAAAATAGATTTATTTTAATGCCATTTGACATTCTTAAGTAACATGTGTAGAAAGGTTAATGACAGGTTTTTATTGCGTATAGTTACGTTTTCATGCACGTTCTTGCTGCACTGTCATAGATGAGGTATGCATGAAGCAGACGACAAAATAAAATCATGTCCTCATGATGTGCAGCTGTCAAATATCATTACTCAGTCTGAAAACTTCTTTTGTTTGTCTTAATTTCCTCTTTTCACTGATCTTCCCTTGAGTTTGTAGAGTTTGTATCATTAAGAAAATTCCTGTGAATTTGCTGGGATTTATTTTTAAAAATCCAAAATGACATTTAGACAGTACCTATATACATGAATGTTAATAACATTGTTAAACAATTGGACGAACTTGTTGCATGCATGCAAGAATGTGAAATCTGTGAGTTCCTATCAAATGCTTTGCAGTTTGCTTTAACCGTAAAATTTAATTATCATGTAATTTTATGATTTTACAGTATAAGAAAATGGGAGTAAAAATAATAAATATGGCTGCTTTAAGCATAATAAGGAAGTGAATACTGCTTGTCATAATAGATTAAAATATTTATCCATGTTTCTTCTCATACATGAATATTTCCGTGTCAGTGTACCGGTATTTTATTGAACTGTTGTACCGACTTAAAGGGCATTCCATATTTAAATATTTCTTATCAGAATTACCATAATGATATTGCCCTACAATCTAAAGATAGACATATTTGCCAGAAATATCAAGTGCTTGATTTTATAATATTGTGCGTGAAAAATAAAGAAATGCATTTACATGGGAGGTAATTCTTGCCACTTTATAATAACAAGACCATGTTGGTAAAAATGTTGTAATTAAGTACATAATATCTTAGTATATATAGGTGCATATAGAATTGCGAAATGTTTCTTTGAGTGATATAAGCAGACTTTTAGGTGTAAATAAAATAGAAAAAAATGTCCAGCTTGACTGGGGACTCAATCACCCAAATCATCAGAAAACAGGGTGAATCAGAGCCAATTGCTTATACACTTTTTCACCTGCTTAGCTCAGTTTAAGGAGAGCATCAGTTATTGCTGGTTCATTCCTCTGGTACATGCAGTGTAATTTCTCTGTGACAGTTGATCCCGGACATTGAGTCTAATGGTCATTAATTTTGTTGTTTAATGCTGATTTAGAAATCATGTAGGATAAGTAACTGGTCATAGTTATCCAGGAAAGCTGAATTGGCTGTGGACTGTGACATTATACAATATGCAGACTTTAAGATTTTTCAAACTTTTTTATCACAAGGTAATAATACATGCAGTATATTTAGGATTGGTCTTTTAGGCAAAATTCCAAAGTTAGACTACTGTCTTTGGACTTTATAGATCATGTTATGTTGCACTCTATTTACATTTATAGTTGTTTATGATCTTTTTAATGAAATAGTATAACATGAAAAAAGAGTCTGTCAGGACATATTAGATTAATAGCTATTATTTAAGTGTAGTTTATGTAAACACCCTTGAATTGTTAATAAGTTACCCTCTCTTGATGCACGAGTACTTTGAATAAGAAAATTACATAGGGAAGAATGGTACATTATATCCATAATTTGTTACATTATTTCCTTGATTTGTGGCTGTTTTCCTTTCTCAGATCAAACAATGGAGGGTAAATAACCACTTTAATTTGAAATTATTGAGAAATAACTCTAATATAATAGTATTGAATTGAAAAAAATTATTATGTGCAATATTGACACTAATTATTTGATAACTGCAATGAACTAAGCCATGTTTATACCTGTTAGACATGTTGAATTAAAAAAACAAACAAGTTGTCTTGAAGTAATGTAAAAGAACAAATTAAAGGATTGCCTCCCTTACCCAAACATTCTCCCTTGGCC